CCGGCCAGACTGGCCGATGCACCATTTTCTCTACACATGTGCGTTAGTTACCTTTCAAACCCTTATGTTCACTAGATGAATTTATTTCCTACCTTCTATTTGAGTGAGACCACTAGATTCCGTGAACTATGCGAGATCTGAGCGCTTCCGTTCTCCCTGGCATTTGCACTCTAAGTTCCCATACTGACCGACCTGGCCAATGCACCATTTTCCATATACATATGCATTAGATTCCTTTCGAACCTTATTAGCTCACCAGATTTATATATTTCCCATCTTCTGATCGAGTGAGACCGCTAGATTCCCATTACTTTTTGAGAAATGAGCGTTTCCGTTCTCCTTGGCCCTAGTTGCACTATAAGTGCGAAATGCCGGCCAGACTGGCCGATGCACAATTTTCTCTACACATGTGCGTTAGTTACCTTTCATACCCTTACGTTCACTAGATGAATATATTTCCTACTTTCTATTTGAGTGAGACCACTTGATTCTGTGTACTATGCGAGATCTGAGCGCTTCCGTTCTCCCTGGCATTTGCATTTTAAGTTCCGATACTGACCGACCTGGCCAATGCACCATTTTCTATATACATGTGCATTGAATACTATCAAACCTTTTTAGCTGACTAGATTTATATATTTCCCACCTTCTGATCGAGTGAGACCGTTGGATTCCCCCTCCTTTTTGAGAAACGAGCGTTTCCGTTCTCCCTGGCCCCACCTGCACTATGAGTGCGAAATGCCGGCCAGACTGGCCGATGCACCATTTTCTCTACACATGTGCGTTAGTTACCTTTCAAACCCTTACGTTCACTAGATGAATTTATTTCCTACCTTCTATTTGAGTGAGACCACTAGATTCCGTGTACTATGCGAGATCTGAGCGCATCCGTTCTCCCTGGCATTTGCACTCTAAGTTCCCATACTGACCGACCTGGCCAATGCACCATTTTCCATATACATATGCATTAGATTCCTTTCGAACCTTATTAGCTCACTAGATTTATATATTTCCCACCTTCTGATCGAGTGAGACCACTAGATTCCCTTTACTTTTTGAGAAATGAGCGTTTCCGTTCTCCTTGGCCCTAGTTGCACTATAAGTGCGAAATGCCGGCCAGACTGGCCGATGCACCATTTTCTCTACACATGTGCGTTAGTTACCTTTCAAACCCTTACGTTCACTAGATGAATTTATTTCCTACCTTCTATTTGAGTGAGACCACTAGATTCCGTGTACTATGCGAGATCTGAGCGCTTCCGTTCTCCCTTGCATTTGCACTCTAAGTTCCCATACTGACCGACCTGGCCAATGCACCATTTTCCATATACATATGCATTAGATTCCTTTCGAACCTTATTAGCTCACTAGATTTATATATTTCCCACCTTCTGATCGAGTGAGACCGCTAGATTCCCTCTACTTTTTGAGAAATGAGCGTTTCCGTTCTCCTTGGCCCTACTTGCACTATAAGTGCGAAATGCCGGCCAGACTGGCCGATGCACCATTTTCTCTACACATGTGCGTTAGTTACCTTTCAAACCCTTACGTTCACTAGATGAATTTATTTCCTACCTTCTATTTGAGTTAGACCACTAGATTCCGTGTACTATGCGAGATCTGAGCGCTTCCGTTCTCCCTGGCATTTGCACTCTAAGTTCCCATACTGACCGACCTAGCCAATGCACCATTTTCCATATAAATATGCATTAGATTCCTTTCAAACCTTATTAGCTCACTAGATTTGTATATTTCCAACCTTCTGATCGAGTGAGACCGCTAGATTCCCTCTACTTTTTGAGAAATGAGCGTTTCCGTTCTCCTTGGCCCTAGTTGCACTATAAGTGCAAAATGCCGGCCAGACTGGCCGATGCACCATTTTCTCTACACATGTGCGTTAGTTACCTTTCAAACCCTTACATTCACTAGATGAATTTATTTCCTACCTTCTATTTGAGTGAGACCATTAGATTCCGTGTACTATGCGAGATCTGAGCGCTTCTGTTCTCCCTGGCATTTGCACTCTAAGTTCCCATACTGACCGACCTGGCCAATGCACCACTTTCCATATACATATGCATTAGATTCCTTTCGAACCTTATTAGCTCACTAGATTTATATATTTCCCACCTTCTCATCGAGTGAGACCGCTAGATTCCCTTTACTTTTTGAGAAATAAGCGTTTCCGTTCTCCTTGGCCCTACTTGCACTATAAGTGCGAAATGCCGGCCAGACTGGCCGATGCACCATTTTCTCTACACATGTGCGTTAGTTACCTTTCAAACCCTTACGTTCACTAGATGAATTTATTTCCTACCTTCTATTTGAGTGAGACCACTAGATTCCGTGTACTATGCGAGATCTGAGCGCTTCCGTTCTCCCTGGCATTTGCACTCTAAGTTCCCATACTGACCGACCTGGCCAATGCACCATTTTCCATATACATATGCATTAGATTCCTTTCGAACCTTATTAGCTCACTAGATTTATATATTTCCCACCTTCTGATCGAGTGAGACCGCTAGATTCCCTTTACTTTTTGAGAAATGAGCGTTTCCGTTCTCCTTGGCCCTACTTGCACTATAAGTGCGAAATGCCGGCCAGACTGGCCGATGCACCATTTTCTCTACACATGTGCGTTAGTTACCTTTCAAACCCTTACGTTCACTAGATGAATTTATTTCCTACCTTCTATTTGAGTGAGACCACTAGATTCCGTGTGCTATGCGAGATCTGAGCGCTTCCGTTCTCCCTGGCATTTGCACTCCAAGTTCCCATACTGACTGACCTGGCCAATGCACCATTTTCCATATACATATGCATTAGATTCCTTTCGAACCTTATTAGCTCACTAGATTTATATATTTCCCACCTTGTGATCGAGTGAGACCGCTAGATTCCCTCTACTTCTTGAGAAATGAGCGTTTCTGTTCTCCTTGGCCCTAGTTGCACTATAAGTGCGAAATGCCGGCCAGACTGGCCGATGCACAATTTTCTCTACACATGTGCGTTAGTTACCTTTCAAACCCTTACGTTCACTAGATGAATATATTTCCTACTTTCTATTTGAGTGAGACCACTTGATTCCGTGTACTATGGGAGATTTGAGCGTTTTCGTTCTCCCTGGCATTTGCATTTTAAGTTCCGATACTGACCGACCTGGCCAATGCACCATTTTCTCTATACATGTGCGTTGAATACCTTTCAAACCTTTTTAGCTGACTAGATTTATATATTTCCCACCTTCTAATTGAGTGAGACCGTTAGATTCCCTCTACTTTTTGAGAAACGAGCGTTTCCGTTCTCCCTGGCCCCACCTGCACTATGAGTGCGAAATGCCGGCCAGACTGGCCGATGCACCATTTTCTCTACACATGTGCGTTAGTTACCTTTCAAACCCTTACATTCACTAGATGAATTTATTTCCTACCTTATAATTGAGTGAGACCACTAGATTCCGTGTATGATGCGAGATCTGAGCGATTCCGTTCTCCCAATCATTTGCACTCTAAGTTCTCATACTGACCGACCTGGCCAATGCACCACTTTCCATATACATATGCATTAGATTCCTTCTGAACCTTATTAGCTCACTAGATTGATATATTTCCCACCTTCTGATCGAGTGAGACCACTAGATTCCCTTTATTTTTGAGAAATGAGCGTTTCCGTTCTCCTTGGCCCTACTTGCACTATAAGTGCGAAATGCCGGCCAGACTGGCCGATGCACCATTTTCTCTACACATGTGCGTTAGTTACCTTTCAAACCCTTACGTTCACTAGATGAATTTATTTCCTACCTTCTATTTGAGTGAGACCACTAGATTCCGTGTACTATGCGAGATCTGAGCGCTTCCGTTCTCCCTGGCATTTGCACTCTAAGTTTCCCATACTGACCGACCTGGCCAATGCACCACTTTCCATATACATATGCATTAGATTCCTTTCGAACCTTATTAGCTCACTAGATTTATATATTTCCCACCTTCTGATCAATGAGACCGCTAGATTCCCTTTAGTTTTGAGAAATGAGCGTTTCCGTTCTCCTTGGCCCTACTTGCACCATGAGTGCGAAATGCAGGCCAGACTGGCCGATGCACCATTTTCTCTACACATGTGCGTTAGTTACCATTCAAACCCTTACGTTCACTAGATGAATTTATTTCCTACCTTCTATTTGATTGAGACCACTAGATTCCGTGTACTATGCGAGATCTGAGCGCTTCCGTTCTCCCTGGCATTTGCGCTCTAAGTTCCCATACTGACCGACCTGGCCAATGCACCATTTTCCATATACATATGCATTAGATGTGAGAGAAGAGAACAGGAATGAAATGACTAAGTCTGAGTTGGGTACAAATACAACCCTAGAAAACTGTACCCCATATGTGCTACCCCACTATAGCCTACAAACATGCATCAGCTATGATAATCTAACACACCCCCATAGGCAAAGTGGGGGAGAACAAGGGGTCACAAGACCAGTCAAGCAAAGCAAAACAAAGCAAGCTCAGGGTGGATCACAAAGTCACCACACAGTCCGAGCACAAGAGCAGGGCCAGAGGCCAGTTCACATGCAGGAGTACAGACATATATATAAAACTAGACAAGCAAGAGCAGGTATATATATATGTCACAGTACAAGTGAAGTCAAGAGGAGAGCAAGTGAGGCAAGACAGGCACAAGACCCAGCTGGGTGCAAAAGCGCTGATGGTCACAAGGCGCGAGTGCCTTGGTGAAACACATCAGCAGTGTTGGCCTCAGAGGCCACGTACGCAAGTCGCAACTGACCACGCTGCTGCAGCTCACGAGCAAGGAAGTAGCGGAGAGCAATGTGCTTCGTTCTGTGCTCCAAGCGCTGCTCTCGACACAAGGCCAGCATGGCCTTGTTGTCTACGTACAGCACTGGAGGAGAACGAGGCGGCTCTCCAAGGTCAGTCAGCAGGTAGGTGAGCCAGCGAAGCTCCTGTGCAGCCATGGCCCCGGCGTAGATCTCAGCCTCACAACTGGAGCCGAGAACCGAAGACGAGCGAGTAGACCGCCACGAGACAGAGCCGGAACCGAAGGCTGAAGGTGTAACCCTGTGACGACCGCTGCGTAGCCTGGTCGTCAGCCCAAGAAGCGTCCGCGTGGCCGGTAAGGACCACTGGACTCCGCCCTCCAAGCACTAGCCCCATGCCCGACGTACTGCACAGGTAGCGCAATACCCTCTTCGCTGCAGCCATGTGCTCTGGTCTATGTCTCCCAGGAGCAACATAGCGTGCAAGAATGCTCAGAGGGTATGCAAGGTCAGGTCGTGTGCAGGTCATCAGGTACATGAGGCAGCCAACAAGCTCTGCATACGGACCACTCGACTCTACGGACTCATCCGAAGGCAGAGCTGAGAGTGAGTGGCGAGTAGGCAGAGGAGTGGCCTGAGGCGAGGAGTACGTGAAGCCGAAGCGCTGAAGGACCTGCTGCACCATGTGTGACTGAGTCAAGGTAATGGTGCGGCGTGCTCTGTCCCGAGTGATCTGCAAGCCAAGGTAGCTGCGCAGTTCACCCAGGTCTGTGCACGTGTGTCTCTTCAGCAGCTCGGACTTCACGTAGGCGAGTCCAGCAGTGTCCGCTGTGGCAAAGACCAAGTCGTCGACGTACACGAGGATGTAGAACGGCGGCAGGGAAGTGTCGGTGCGAAGAAACAGCGACGGGTCAGCAGTAGAAGGAGCAAACCCAAGGGCCGCAAGCGTAGTCCTCAGTGTGTCGTGCCACTCACGCGGTGCCTGGCGGAGACCGTAGACTGGCCGTCGGAGGCTCCACTGGGTGCCAGGAGGGAAAGTCCCAGTGAAGCCAGGTGGACGGCGAAGCCAGATCTCCTCGTGCAGGCTACCCTGCAAGAACGCAGTGCTGAAGTCGAGAGAGTGAAGCTCGTAGTCGCGCTGAGCGGCTATGTGCAGCAGCACCCGAAGAGTGGTCATCTTCGGGGTGGGAGAGAAGGTCTGAAAGTAGTCAACTCCCTGCCGCTGACTGAAACCACGAGCAACGTACCGTGCCTTGAAGACAGGTGGAGAGCCCGGCGGCCGCTTCACCCTGAAGATCCACATGCCACTGACGATGTTCGCCCCAGGAGGGGGAACCGCGTCAACGTAGGTGCCTGTGGACTTCCAGGAAGCCATCTCTGCATCCATAGCTGCCTGCCACTGAGAGGAGTAGGGACCCTCTACGGCCTCCGCGTAAGAACGCGGAGTCGGGATGTCTAGTGCATCCGGGTCTCCCTCAGGGGCAAGCAGTACAGACGCGAGATGAGGTGAAGCAGCCGCTAGACACTGTAACTCCTCCTGCCTGTCCTCTAGGACGTCCGTGCCAAGAGCACACTCACCCCCGACGGACGGAGGACAGACAGACGCAGACTCAGCAACAAGACTAGCAGCGTAGTCGAGACGACAGCGAGCAGCAAAGTCGACGAGCTCAGCGACAAGAGCAGACGCAGCAGTGGACTCAAAAGAGGGGTCAGTGACGACAGTAGCAAGCAGACGCGTGACAGTAGGACTGGCAGCACGAAGAGAGTCCGACTCACGGTCGGCAAGCGCAGGAAGAGAGGACTCAGGAGGAGAAGGCAAAGGGGCACGCAGAGGAGCAGTGGACGGACGCAAAGACATCCGGTGGGTGCCAGGGACAGGAGGAGGACGTTGACGCGAACTGCGACCACTAGCGCGAGCAGCACGAAAAGGCGACGCGGGACGAGATGCAGGCTCACGACGCTCAGCAAGACCCCCAGTAGGACCAGTGTAAGGAGAGGGAGCAGGCAGTGGAGAGGAAGGCTCCAGTAGGGACTGCGACTGGACAGGCGGTGGACCCTCTACTGGAGGAGAAAGACCAAGAACCTGCTGCAGGAGCGGAACCAAGTACGGTCGAGGCCGCACGGCAGCTCCAGACTCAGCAGGGACAGCACCAGCACCCTCAGCGACAGCACCAGCGCCACCCACACCTCCAGCGGCAGGACCAACAGCAGTAGGCTCAGCACCAACGCCCTCAGCACTTCCAGCTCCAGGAGGACCCGCAGGTCCAGCAGCTCCAGGACCGGCAGCACCCGCACCCTCGACGGTCGAAGAAGCTCCAGCTCCAGCTCCAGCAGCACCTCCAGACTCAGCAGCACGCCTCCAGCGGCGAGCGAACCACTCGCGCAGCTCCTGTGGAGAGAGGGGCTCCCGGCGAGACGCAGCAGCAGGAGAAACCCCAGGCTCAGCAGCTCCAGACGCAGCACCCCCAGGCTCAGCAGCTCCCAGCTCAGCACCCCCAGGCTCAGCAGCTCCCGACCCAGCCACCCCCAGACCCAGCACCTCCAGGCACAGCACCCCCCGGCTCAGCACCCCCAGGCTCCGCACCCTCCGCAGTAGCACCCTCAGGCCCAGCACCCCCATCAGTAGCACCCCCAGGCTCAGCACCCCCGCGCACAGCACCCCCAGAGTCAGCACCCCCAGGCTCAGCACCCGCAGCAGCACCAGAGTCACTAGTAACCTCGACCGGGTCAACGGCGTCTACCTGGGACACACCTGAGGGGGCAGGAACCTGAGGGGGGAGGGGGTCTACCGGGGGGGGAACCGGCACAAGGAAGTCCGGGGGAGGGGGGAGGGAAGGAGTGCGGTAGGGGAAGAGACGGTAGAAGGGGACTGACTCGTCGAACGTGACGTCCTGGGAGGACAAAACACGACGAGAGGAGGGGTGGTAAAACTGCCACCCTGGGGCGTCAGTGGGGAAGCCAAGGAAGACACAGGGAGCAGCACGAGGGGACAGCTTGTCCGCAGACAAGTCGCGGACAAACGCCCGAGATCCCCAGACACGGAACACAGACGCATCGCCAACCTTCCCCGTCCACAGCAAGGCGGGGGACGGTGAAGGTTGGGCTGATGCGCCGCGTACCTCACCGCAAACGGCCACAGAAAATGGGGGGCAGCCGCATGCATCATGGACGTACGAGCGACATCCATGACCATGCCAATGCGGCGCTCAGCAATCCCATTTTGCTGTGGTGAGTCCGGAAGCGTGAAGGTCTGGCGGATCCTCCCGTGCACGACAGTAGTCTCGCAGAAGGCGAGAAGAGAACTCTCCGCCTCTGTCCGAGTGCAGACGCAGAACAGGAAGTCCGAGCCGAAGCTCTTCCTGAGCTGGAGACGAGCCTCGCGGATCCAGTCGATCAGCACCTCAGTGACCGCACCCTTGCTGCGCAAGGGGAGGACTGTGGTGTAACGCGAGTAGTCGTCAACCACCAACAGGAAGTAGCGCTCGTGACCCTGCCCACGGACGGGGGCTGGGCCCCACACATCCATGTGAAGCGTCTGCAGGGGAGCCTCTGTCGGGGGGAAGTGGGAGGAGTGAGGAGTAGCCCGGAGGCGACCCTCGACACAGGGGACACAGGAAGGTCCTGGCCCGGAGGGGAGAGGAGGGAGAGACTGGGGAAGACCAGAGACAAGGACACGGGAAGCCATGCTCCGAAGACGGGGCAAGGAGGGGTGGCCAAGACGGTGGTGCCACAGGAGAGTCTCGTGAGACAGGAGGCGACAAGAACAGGGGGCAGACTCAGGACCTGACCGGGACGCAGCAGCAAACACCTGACCTGACGCAGCCACCTGACCAGACGCAGGGACAGGAGGAGACTCAACGGTCAGGGTGTAGAGACTCGACCCCGGCCGACGCGAGAACGTGGCCAGGTGTCGGCCTGTGCGTGCCTCCGTGCAGTGGGTCACCCGCTGACTCGCAGGAGTGAACTGGTGAACCCCCACATCCTGCAGGTCCGCGCCACTCACCAAGTTCGTAGAGAACGAGGGAAGGTACAGACCAGACAGGGTGCCCGAAGGGGCAGCCAGGACACGGGAGGACAGTGGAGAAGTGAGACAGGACAGGACCCCCAGAGGGGTCAGCAAGGGAGACTGCAACCGGCCGGCCGAGCGGCGTAAGGGTAGTGCGGTCTCGAAAGAAGGAGCGAGAAGCCCCGGAGTCAAGTGTGAAAGTGAGGGAGGACGAGGACGACGCAGTACCTGAGAGCGCAGTCTCACCAGTACTTGAGAGCGCAGACGCACTGGCACCTAGAGCAGCAGCCTCACAAGCACCTAGCGCAGCAGTACCAATGTCCGGGTCGGGCTGGAAACACCGGTAACCCTCATTCTCCTCACTATAAGTCACAGCATACATAGCAGCAAGGATAGCATCAAAATCAAGATCGCTACACCAGCCCTAAGAAGCTCATCCCAGCGAGGGATCTCAGTAGCCCCAGGGAACTGCTGACGCCAAGCGTCCGTCAGGCGGCCAAAGCAGCGCTAGGCGGCGTGGGCACCCCCACACTGCTCACCCGCGCGGTCGCCGGAACGAAGAACATAGGTGCAGGGACCAGTACCCCCACCCCTCTGACGCCCAGCGTACCACTCACGAAGCTGCTGAGGCGGAGGGATGTCCCGCGAGCGCTGCTGCTGCTGCCGCTGCGAGCGCTGGCCACCACCACCGCCGCTACGCTGCTGGGTACCACCCCGACCAGCTCCACCTCCTCCACCACCACCGCCTCCTCCGCTGCCGCCTCCACCGCCTCCACCTCCGCCGCCTCCACCTCCGCCGCTGCCTCCACCACCACCGCTGGCACCACCACCACCGTCTCCGCCGCTGCTGCCACCACCACCACCACCCCCGCCACTAGTCCCGCCGCCACCCCCACTCCCTCCGCCGCCACCGCCGCCACCGCCACCGCCCCCTCCAGCTCCACCCGCGCCCTTGCCCCCCTTGCCCTTGCTGGAGCGACGTCTCCCACTACGGGCAGACGCCGCGCCGACCGACTCAAGACCAAGCAGGTCGGCAGCAGCAGCAGAGGCAACAGAGGGCAGCAAGGGGGAAGGAGAGCACCCCTCAAAGATGGGGGTGCGAGGGTCACCACGAGAAGCACCTACAGCGACTATGCTCTTCTCCGCTGCGAGGAGGGCCTTCTCGAGGAGGTCGACGGTGAGGGTGGTGGGACAGACTGCGAGAAAGTGGTCCCTGACGACGCGAAGGGAGTCAGGGAGGCGCGCGACTACGTAGTAGAGAGCGATGTACATGGGGGGTGGGTTCTTAGCGCAGAACTCAGCAGGAAGGGCGGCGCGGTAGCGAGTGTCACTAGTGCGGAGGTGCGTAATGAGGTCAGCGACAGTGGGAAAGGCAGAGAGGTCAGGAAAGAGGTAGCGAAGCATGAGACGGCTCAGTGCAGCAGTGGCAGGGGAGGAGTAGCGCGCAACTACAGCGTCGTACAAGGTCTGAGCACTCTTGTACTGACTAAAGTGCGCACGCTCAGAGGTAGGGAGGTGGCGACGCACAGCAAGACGTGCAGCAGCATCGCGGGTGGCCCACTGAGAGCGGACAGTGGGATCAGCATCAGCAGCAGGAGCAGGAGAGGCGCCAGAGGTGAGGTCAAAGAGAGAAAGGCCGTCAGCCCTGTCGCACTGTAAGAACAGCTGCAGGTCGTCTAACCAGACCTCAAAATCAATGGCGCGACCCTCAGCGTCAAAAGCTAGGACACTAGGGGTAGCCATGGCGACGACAGCGACGCAGTGCAAGCAGTAGGGAAAGAGCTCGCAGTGACAGTGGGACTGTGCTCACCAGGCAGGGCAGGTCGTGCAGCTCAGCAGAAAGGCGGCTCGGCGACCGGGCGGCTCGGGTGCACAGCGGCTCGGCTCCCGGGCGGCTCGGCGGCAGGGCGGCTCGGGTGCAGGGCGGCTCGGCTCCCGGGCGGCTCGGCGGCAGGGCGGCTCGGGGGCAGGGCGGCTCGGCTCCCGGGCGGCTCGGCGACAGGGCGGCTCGAGCGTAGGGCGGCTCGGCTCCCGGGCGGCTCAGCTGCACGGCTGCCCGACTGCTGCAGATGGGGCGGCAGGGCCGCGTGAAAGAACCGGGGCGGGGCCGCGTCAGAGCCGGCGGCAGGGCCCGCGTGAGAGCCGGGGCAGGGGCCGCGTGAGAGCCGGGGCGGGGCCGCTTCAGAGCTGGCGGCAGGGCCGCAAGAGAGCCGAGGCAGGGGGCCGCGTTAGGGCTGCAGCAGGGGGCCGTAAGAGAGCCGGGGCGGGGCCGCAAGAGAGCCGGTGGCGGGGCCGCAAGAGAGCCGGCGGCGGGGCCGCGTCAGGGCCGGCAGCAAGGCCGCGAGAGAGCCGGGGCGGGGCCGCGATCAGGAGGCGGCGACGGGGCCGCGTCAGAGCCGGCGGCGGGGCCTCGTCGAGGCGGGCGGCGGGGCCGCGTTGGAGCCGGCGGCGAGGCCGGCTAAGAGCCGGCGGTGGTGGCCGCGTCAGAGCCGAAGGCGGGGACGCGTCAGGGCCGGCGGCGGGCCGCGATCAGCGGGCGGCGGGGCCGCGTCAGAGCCGGCGGCGGGGGCCGCGTCAGAGCCGGTGGCGGGGCCGCGATTAGCGGGCGGCGGGGCCGCGTCAGAGGAGGCGCGGGGGCCGCTGCAGAGAAGGCGGCGGGGGCCGCGTCAAGCAGGGGTGGCGGGGCCGCGTCAGAGGGACAGCGGGGCCGCGAGAGCAATGGCGACCCGAAGGGTCGCGAAAAAAAATGCGCGCCTCGGGGCGCGCTTCGGTGGGCCCTAAAAAAAACGGTCCTTAGGAAGGACTCGCTCTATACCATGTGAGAAAAGAGAACAGGAATGAAATGACTAAGTCAGAGTTGGGTACAAATACAACCCTAGAAAACTGTACCCCATATGTGCTACCCCACTATAGCCTACAAACATGCATCAGCTATGATAATCTGACATTAGATTCCTTTCGAACCTTATTAGCTTACTAGATTTATATATTTCCCACCTTCTGATCAAGTGAGACCGCTAGATTCCCTTTAGTTTTGAGAAATGAGCGTTTCCGTTCTCCTTGGCCCTACTTGCACTATAAGTGCGAAATGCCAGCCAGAATGGCCGATGCACCATTTTCTCTACACATGTGCGTTAGTTACCTCTCAAACCCTTACGTTCACTAGATGAATTTATTTCCTACTTTCTATTTGAGTGAGACCACTAGATTCTGTGTACTATGCGAGATCTGAGCGCTTCCGTTCTCCCTGGCATTTGCACTTTAAGTTCCCATACTGACCGACCTAGCCAATGCACCATTTTCCATATACATATGCATTAGATTCCTTTCGAACCTTATTAGCTCACTAGATTTATATATTTCCCACATTCTGATTGAGTGAGACCGCTAGATTCCCTCTACTTTTTGAGAAATGAGCGTTTCCGTTCTCCTTGGCCCTAGTTGCACTATAAGTGCGAAATGCCGGCCAAACTGGCCGATGCACCATTTTCTCTACACATGTGCATTAGTTACCTTTCAAACCCTTACGTTCACTAGATGAATTTATTTCCTACCTTCTATTTGAGTGAGATCACTAGATTCCGTGTACTATGCGAGATCTGAGCGCTTCCGTTCTCCCTAGCATTTTCATTTAAGTTCCATACTGACCGACCTGGCCAATGCACCATTTTCCATATACATATGCATTAGATTCCTTTCGAACCTTATTAGCTCACTAGATTTATATATTTCCCACCTTCTGATCGAGTGAGACCGCTAGATTCCCTTCACGTTTTGAGAAATGAGCGTTTCCGTTCTCCTTGGCCCTACTTGCACTATAAGTGCGAAATGCCGGCCAGACTGGCCGATGCACCATTTTTCTCTACACATGTGCGTTAGTTCCGTTTCAAACCCTTACGTTCACTATACGAATTTATTTCCTACCTTCTATTTGAGTGAGACCACTAGATTCCGTGTACTATGCGAGATCTGAGCGCTTCCGTTCTCCCTGGCATTTGCACTCTAAGTTCCCCTACTGACCGACCTGGCCAATGCACCATTTTCCATATATATGCATTAGATTCCTTTCGAACTTTATTAGCTCACTAGATAAATATATTTCCCACCTTCTGATCGAGTGAGACCGCTAGATTCCCTTTACTTTTTGAGAAATGAGTGTTTCCGTTCTCCTTGGCCCTACTTGCACTATAAGTGCGAAATGCCGGCCAGACTGGCCGATGCACCATTTTCTCTACACGTGTGCGTTAGTTACCTTTCAAACCCTTACGTTCATTAGATGAATATATTTCCTACTTTCTATTTGAGTGAGACAACTTGATTCCGTGTACTATGCAAGTTCTGAGCACTTCCGTTCTCCCTGGCATTTGCATTTTAAGTTCCGATACTGACCGACCTAGCCAATGCACCATTTTCTCTATACATGTGCGTTGAATACCTTTCAAACCTTTTTAGCTGACTAGATTTATATATTTCCCACCTTCTGATCGAGTGAGACCGTTAGATTTCCTCTGCTTTTTGAGAAACGTGCGTTTCGGTTCTCCCTGTCCCCACCTGCACTATGAATGCGAAATGCCGGCCAGACTGGCCGATGCACCATTTTCTCTACACATGTGCGTTAGTTACTTTTCAAACCCTTACGTTCACTAGATGAATATATTTCCTACCTTATATTTGAGTGAGACCACTAGATTCCGTGTATTATGCGAGATCTAAGCGGTTCCGTTCTCCCAGGCATTTGCACTCTAAGTTCCCATACTGACTGACCTGGCCAATGCACCACTTTCCATATACATATGGATTAGATTCCTTCCGAACCTTATTATCTCACTAGATTTATATATTTCCCACCTTCTGATCGAGTGAGACCGCTAGATTCCCTTACTTTTTTGAGAAATGAGCGTTTCCGTTCTCCTTGGCCCTACTTGCACTATAAGTGCGAAATGCCGGCCAGACTGGCCGATGCACCATTTTCTCTACACATGTGCATTAGTTACCTTTCAAACACTTACGTTCACTAGATGAATTTATTTCCTACCTTCTATTTGAGTGAGACCACTAGATTCTGTGTACTATGCGAGATCTGAGCGCTTCCGTTCTCCATGGCATTTGCACTCTAAGTTCCCATACTGACCGACCTGGCCAATGCACCATTTTCCATA